CTGGGACTACAGGCGCCTGCCACCTCGCCCGGCTAGTTTTTTGTATTTTTTAGTAGAGACGGGGTTTCACTGTGTTAGCCAAGATGGTCTCGATCTCCTGACCTCGTGATCCGCCTGTCTCGGCCTCCCAAAGTGCTGGGATTACAGGCTTGAGCCACCGCGCCCGGCCTGTATTTTTCTTACACGTGTCATTTTTGCAAAATATAATTATATTTTCCAAAACAAATGAGCAGGAATGGCATTGGTTTTTCCATTTTTGCAAATCTCTTCAGTCTGACTGACAGAAGACAGCTGGACCCACCTGCCTCGTGCCCTCTGGAGACCCTCCTGGGCTCCTGCGAACTGAGTGACAGGGCAGACAGTGTCTGTGTTACTGCTGAGCCACATAGACCTGAAAGGGCCTCGGGGACCCCCAGCCGTCCTGACCACACCCTAAGAGCTGGGGCCCAGATGGAAAGACAGGGAGGTTGTCCTGGCTGGCTTTGATGGGTGGAACTTAAACCAGAGGACAAGGGGGCCTGGCCACCCGCACAGCCACTCCCAGACACAGAGAACAGGCGGGGGCTTCAGACCCCTCCCCGAGTAGTTCTCTGAGTTTGTCGGGCGTAGGAAGAGGAAGCTGCTCACCTTTGTCCCTAAGCCCAGGGCTGTGTCCTGTGTGGCTGGTCTGGAACAGCCTTGCTGTCCTTGCCTGGGGTTGGAACCAGGGCCACTGGGGTCCTGCAGACCTTTGTTCACGCATGAGCCTTGGGCCTGCGCCGGGCAGTGGACCCTGCCTAGGCTGCCGCGCCTCCCTCCTAACATTGCCAAAGTGAAACACTCCTGGTCTCTCGGCTGTGCTTGTATGTCTTTACTGCCGTGTCTTTTTTGTTGTTCTGTATTTGAAGCCCCATGTGATAAATTTCTTCAAAGCTAGGAAGGAGTTTTGTGTCTCTGCGCAAGATACTGGCTGCTTGGTGGAACCTGGAGCCCAGGTTTGGCCTCAGCCTCATTTCCGGATGCCTTGGTGTCCACATGTCTCTTCTCTTCTACTTGGCTCTTCCCTTTTTATTTCTTTATAAAAATGAAGGAGGTGAACTAAGCAGCCTCAGGCTTTAGAAGTGAGTCCCTGGTATTGGTGAGGCCACCCACACTGCCATCCCCTGTAAGCCAGGAGGGTGGTCTCACTCTGTACCTATCACCCAGGTTCTCGGGACCGGAAGTCAGGTGGGAGACTGGGCTCCCCGAAGCCAGAGCGACAGAGAGGCCAGAACTCCAAAGCCCCTGCAGCCCCGGCTGACAGGTGAGTGGACCCAGCATGTGCCCTGGGCACACCGAGGGTGGCTAGCCTGAGCCTCTTTCCCAGGGAGGCCAGCAGCAGCAGGGCTAGCACTGGGCCAGGTTGGAGGTGCTCCAGCTCCTGTAGCTCCTGCTGGGCTGATGTGGTGAGGGACAGGGACAGGGAAGGGCAACCCCACTCCGGCACACACACTCCTGCCCTGGTCGAGGCTGGAGGCTGCCCTCTGCTCCCCATGTCCTTGGGCAAAGAGCTCTGGGCACGGAGGTGGGAAGAAGAGCAGGTTGTGCGGGGCCAGCCCAGGACCCTCCCGGTCTCTACTCCACAAAGCCCGGCAGCCACTGGCTAGGACCAGGCCTGCTTGTGGCAATGGGAGCCTGGCCATCCCGGGAGCCCCTTGCCTCTCCTGGCGGCCACTGAGCACTCAGTGGAAGTTCCCCTTCCGGGAGGGCACCGCACTGCTGCTTCCACCTCAGACGTGGCTTCTGGGGGCTCAAGGTCTTCCCCACCCCCTTGTAGGAAGCGCCAGCTGTCACCACAGTCCAAGAGCTCCAGCAAGGTCACAAGCGTGCCCGGCAAAGCCTCGGATCCCGGCGCCGCCAGCACCAAATCAGGGAAGGCCAGCACGCTGTCGCGGCGGGAGGAGCTGCTGAAACAGCTGAAGGCCGTGGAGGACGCTATTGCGCGCAAGCGGGCCAAGATCCCCGGGAAAGCATAGGCCGTGCCCCTGACCGGACTGGACGCATTTTTATACATAGGGTAAGCGCAGCCATTTTGGATTTTGCAGTTAATGTCTTATTTTGGCTGTGATTCTTTTTAAAAAGTAAAAAAGAAAAAAAAGTTTCTCAGCTGGAAAAGAAGCCACACAGGAGATGACGACGACGCTGAATCCCAGCCTCCCTCCCCAGAGCAGAAGTCCCGCAGGACAGACACCGACAGCGCTAGTGACCAGCACAGTTCTCATGTAAATTACAGGCCCCGGCCGCCAGCCCCGCCTTCTCTTCCTCCTCCACCGTCTTCTTCCCTGGCCCTGGTCAGGCCTGGGCCTGTGGAGCCCCAGCTCTGCGTCCCCAGCCTGGGTTCAGGCAGCCAGGCTCCCTCCTGAGCTGAGAAATGGAACCTCGAGAACCACTGGTGGCACCTCCTCCTCCTCCCCGCCCCCAATCACCCGCCCCCGGATCAGAAATATATCTATATTCTCGACTGAAGTCTCATCAGGAAATACTTCCTGTCTTTTATTTTAAGCATCAAATTGTTTTAGTTGATTTAAACAGGAAAAAATACAGAAAAGACCAAAAAAAAAAAGGCCAAGGGTATTGTTGGGGCGTCTGTCTAATGTGGAGGGTCTTTTTTTGAGAGGTCTCCTAAAATAAAATATTTTGATAAGCAGCTGTTCTCGCCCTTGTGGTGTGTGCGCCCTCTGCCCAAGCACAGCCGGGTCTGCCTCTGTGTCGTGCACTGCACTTGGCCCAGCACTCGGGAGCTGCTGGGGGGCGAGGGTGTGGCTGTGCGCTCACTCCCCCTGGGAGGACCGGCCATGGAGCAGCTCCTGCCTTCAGACCCCAGCCCAGGGAAGCACTGCGCCTCAGTTTCTCCATTTGTGGGGCTGGGTTGGGCGTTCCTTGGTTCATGAGATGGAGGTACCTTCCCTGCAGGGGCCATGGAGCTGCTGGAGGGGAAGAGGTCCAGGGCTGACTCCCAGCCCTGAGCCCAGCTGCCACCTCTGCAGTGACCACCACCGGCTCCGTGTGCAGGCCCCAGACCTGCTGAGCCAGGCCCCATGTGTGATGCCACGTTCCACAGCAGGGGCCACCGGCAGAGCCCCCCAGGAGTCCCCGCTGTCGCTCTCTGCTCTCCACCTTGAAAGCCACAGGCCTGCACCTGGGCAGAGGCCTCCCAGGTACACACTCCAGGGCCTCCAGCACCTCCTTTAATCAGATGCAAGGAGCCGCAGTGTGGTGCCCACGCCTGTGGCCCACCCGTGTCCCTCATCTGCTTCCTGACACGAGGTTTGGGATGAGACCCCCAAGAGAGAGCTCCCTCCCCCAGGGCTGCGAGTGGAGCCCCAGGGAGGCAGCAACGCGCACTTCTGCTCCTTGCATGACCTGCGTCCGTGCCACTCTTCTTCTGGATTAAATGACACTTAGAGTGTGGGCAGAGGAGCTGGGCGTGAGTGAGCACTGCAGCTGGGCCGCCTGTGCACTCCTGAGGGAACTGTTTCCCATTTTATGTCCACGTCCCTCCCACAGCACAGGCCACACAGTTCATCTTGTGTCCCAGCAGCTGGATCATGTGTCTCAGCAATGGCTTTTTTTTTTTTTTGAGACAGAGTCTCGCTCTGTCGCCTAGGCTGGAGTGCAGTGGCGCGACCTCAGCTCACTGCAACCTCTGCCTCCTGGGTTCACGCCATTCTCCTGTCTCAGTCTCCTGAGTAGCTGGGACTACAGGCGCCGCCACCACACCCGGCTAGTTTTTTGTATTTTGAGTAGAGACGGGGTTTCATCGTGTTAGCCAGGATGGTCTCGATCTCCTGACCTCATGATCCGCCCGCCTCGGCCTCCCAAAGTGCTGGGATGACAGGCGTGAGCCACCGCGCCCGGCCACCATTTTTTGAGGCTTATCAGATTTGCCATCAGGTCAAAGCCAGGTGCAAAGGAAATTCCCATTCTCTGGAAAGGGTGGCCTTCAAGGCCACGGAGCTGGAGTCCAGGCCACTCTGGGTGCCAGCCTGCAGCCTGTCATTTGTGGGCTGTACCATGAGGGCTGGAGGCCAGGAAATGGTGCCTTGTGCCTCCAGTGTGGGGCACCTCAAACTGGCGCCTGCAGTGACTGTCTGTCTCCGGCCAGGAGCGGACAGGAGAGCCCACCGCAGCTCACATGTGGACTGGGACCAGGCGAGGCCCCCTCTGCAGCTGGTCAGCCCCCAGCCACAGCCCTGGGCACCGCAGTCTGGAGCTGGGTTTGAACTCGCACCAGGCGGCAGTGGACCCCAGGTGTGGCTACCCATCCCTCTGGCTCTTGGACATGGGTGCAGAGGGGCCTGTCCTAGGAGGATGACTGCCCCCATGTGGTCGAGTGGAGAGGATGTTCAGTCAGGCAGCTGGGAAGGGTGGCCTTGCTGTGTGACGGGCATCCACGGGTGTCCACGCCCTCCAGGGACGTCCTGCTCCAGGCGGTTAGCGCTCACGTCCTCCTTGCTCCCCATGCAGTGACTGGAAAGCCTGTGTGGGGTTCTGGCAATGGCACCCGCCTGCCAGCCCCTCCCAGGGCGTGCCCCACGGCCTCTGCCCTCTGCCTGCAGCCCCTCCCCCACAGCCACGCTCCTACCCACCCCTTTGACTGGGCTTTGGGTGGGCAGGCGGATGTAGACCCTGCTTGGAGGCGGTGGCCCTAGAGGGATCCACAGAAGGGGAAGAGGCCGAGACACACGAGACCACTCCTGATGGGGAAAACCCATGGGGGGTGTGGCGTGGTGGCACCTCAGGGAGGGGCCCTCTGCTGTCCCAGCCAACGTCTCATGACGATTTTGCACCCCCGCCAGCAGTGCCCCCGCCCTGCCCACCCGGCTGGACACACCTGTGTTGTGGGCAGCTGGCTGCGTGTGACCCGCTGTGCACCTGCGCCTTGATGTGGGGGAGACCCTGCAGAGAGGGTCCCCTTCTGCCCTGCCCAGTGCCCTCCCTGCCTCACCCCTCCTCCCACAGGCCCGCTCAGGGCGCTAAAGGGCTCTCCTGGCTGTGGGTCCGTCCTTCCCTGCATCTGGGGGACGTCCCCCGCGCTGCCTCTGACCCGCCCGGCTCTGCCTTTGTCTGAGACCCCTCGTTCCGCACCAGGGTCCGCGTTCCCCACCAGGGTCCGGGGACGTGGTCTGCTGGGCGCGGGCCCGGGTTGTGGTTTGAGAGCCGGCCTGTCCGGACCTCCGCCTCCGGGCCGCCCTCCAGCCTTCCTGCCGCCGCCTTTCCAGTCTTGCCCAACCCGGTATTTCTGCGCTTGCCTCAGCCACCCGCAGGAGCGCAGGCCGCCCTGCCTCCTCGCGTCCTCTGCGCCCACGGGACCCCGGACCCCGCCCAGTCCGCAGGTCCCGCAGGTCCCCCCGGGCGTGTCTTCCTGGCCCTGCGACCCCCGGGACAGCGCTGGGAGCGCGCGGAAGGGGGGAGACGCGCGGCCCTGGCCGGGTCCCTGGCTCCGTTCTCGCGGTGCAGCCTGTGCCTGGGGGTCCGGCCGTCACACCTCAGAACCGAGCTGAGCGGAAGATGGGGCAGCGGCCGCTGGGAAGAAGGCAGCCCCGGGTCGGGGAGGAGGAGGCGGGGGCGCAGTGGAGTCTCCGGTGGGGCTGCCTCCTTCCATCCTCCCCTGGGCGGGACGGGGGATGCGAGGGGGAGCGGGAGGGAGGAGACGACGGTCGGGGGCCAGGGAGAACACTCCTGTGCCTGGGGGCTCCGGCTCCCTCTGCTCGCTCCCTCCTGCCGAACTTTTCCACTCAGCCATTTACCTCCTCAGGCACTGGCTGCCGCCATCGGCTGACCAGGTCCTGCCCCAGAGAACCGCGTGTGGCCCACGTGTGGACAGACCTGCTCCCCATGCCAGGAGGGAGGGTCACTGGCTCTACCTGGGGATGGGGGATGAGGGCGAGAGCACCAGGCCAAGGTGGAGGGCTTCTCGCTCTCCCCCTCTTTTCCTGGCCTTTTCCTCCATTCCCTCTGGCTCCTATCGTCCCCTCCCCCTTCCTCTTTCTTGGGTATGGTTGGGCAGGTCGTGCACTGCACAAGGACTCCCAGCAGAGGATGAGGACCGACATCAGCTTGTCCTTCCCTCCCAACACTGTGCGTTCCCTAACCCTGCACGAAGGCACCCTACTCCCCTCCTCAAGATTCCCCACCCAGCATGGCCTGCAGCCCCAGCCCCAAGCCACAGCTGGGCAGGTTGGGCAGAAGCACTGGGGAGGCCAGGCCTGGCCATGCTGAGTGTGGTGACTCGTCAGGGTTTGCACAAAACCTCTTGGACACCCACCTGCAGGCCCCTCGGGATGTTTCCGATGAGGCTTCCCCGGGCGCCTCTCTGTGGCAGAAGAAGGGGCCCCAGGACTGCTTTGTAGGTCTCAGCCTAGGGGAGGCCCCCAGAGATGCCCGAGCCAGGGAGGGGCCCAGCCCCCTCTCCCAGGCTGTGCTTGGCATGCAGAGGTTGCGGGGGATCTTGAGTTTTTGTCCCCAGAATGGCTGAGTGGACTCTGGAGAAGACAAACCCCGCCCCACTGCCGCTGCCCTGTCTCACACCAGTAAGAGTGCTCGTCAGCCTCCTGGCGGCAGGTGCTGCGGACTGCGACCACCTGAGCCAGGCAGTGACACTAATGCGCCTCAGGGCAGCCTTGGCACTGGAGCTGCTGTCATCCCACTTTACCCACGGGGAGAGCCACTCTCCTCCCTCCTTCTTCCATTCTGTGTTATTTACAAATCACCCTCCTGTGTGCCCCGCACCACTCTCAGCCCTGAGTACACAGAGGGGGCTGCCACAGACGTGGCCCTCAAGGCGCTCAGGCCACCTTTAGGGGAGGGCTGCGAGGGGCTGCAATTTTTCTGAAACAGCCAAGCACCCCTGCAGAGAGGCCTGTATCATCAGCCCAGCGTAAGACAGAGGCAACCCACACAGGAGCACCTGTCCTGCTGGGGATGCGGCGGCTCCTGCTGTGTCCTGGAAAAGGCTCTCCCGCAGCCTGACGCGACCTGTGAACGTGCGCTCATTTGGAAAAGGGGCTTTTGCTTTGATGTAATTAGGGAAAGGATCTTGAGATGCCCTGTCCTGGGTTAAGACAGGTCCCACGTCCTGAGAAGGAGGGAGGGATTATCATTTAGACTGGACCCTAAATCCAACAACCCATGTCCTTATAAACCACAGAAGAGGATAAGACGGATGCAGCAGAGAGGCCACAGGAGGAGCCGCAAGCCCGGGAAACCGAGGGCTCAAAGAGCCTCCAGGAGAACCCAACCTTGAACACACCTTGATACCAGACTCCCAGCTCCACGGCCTCGTGGAATAAACTTCTGCCATTTCACACCCCCCAGTTTGTGGTGCATGGTTAGCACAGCCCTAGGAAACCAGCACAGATAGTGAGCTCCCCGTCATAGGAGGTATGCAAGCAGAGGGTGGGTGGGCAGAGGCACTATAGGGAGGAGCAGCCCCCGGGACTCCAGCAATCTGTCTTTGATTCTTCCCAGACTGTTAACCCTGGAGCACGGCCTCCTTCACCCCCAGAGGCCCACAGCAGATAAGCCGAGAGCCACACAGTGGCCAAGAGGAGGTACTGGAGGGCCCAGGGGTCCCAGTGCTGCCTCAGCCCCACCCCACTTGGGGGCTTTTGTGTTCAGAGAGACTGAGGTTTTAAGCTTAGAGGACGCCTCTGTGGAACACATCTGCACTGCGGCAGGGGAGGAAAGGCTGGGGACACAGAAGCACCCTCCCTCCCGCCCTCACCCCGAAGCTGAGGGGACCAGGGCGGACAGATTCCCCCACCTTTGGTGTGGCCAGGGGCCCTGGGGACCCCAGGGGAACCCTCCTCAGGATGACATCAAACCCCCGGCATTCAAAACTTTCCGAGCTCTGGCCCCAGCTGTCCCCTTTCCAGGGAAACAAAGGCACTTCCAGTACCCCCAACCCAGCCAGCCTCACCGAGCAAGGAGGCCAAAGGCAGCTCCTGGCCCCACTTACATAAAGCTTCCTATGTGCGCTCTTCACACTTCACACCTCACACCTCACTCTTCACTCCTCACACCTCACTCCTCACACCTCACTCCTCACACCTCACTCCTCACTCTTCACACCTCCTCACACCTCCCACCTCCTCATACCTCACTCCTCACACCTCACTCCTCACACCTCATTCCTCACTCCTCACACCTCACTCCTCCTCACACCTCCTCACACCTCACTCCTCACACCTCACTCCTCACACCTCACTCCTCACCTCACACCTCACACCTCACTCCTCACACCTCACATTTCCTCACACCTCACACCTCCTCACATCTCACTCACTCCTCACACCTCACCCCTCGCTCCTCACACCTCACTCCTCACTCCTCACACCTCACTCCTCACACCTCACACCTCA